AGGAGCAACTATGACTAACTTAAAAAGACACGGAGGTTGGAAAAGTTCCACGGTGGCGGAGGGGTATTTGGAGGATAGCAACGAATTGAGAAATAAAACGGCGCGTATGTTGTCTACTTTGTCATCAGAAGAGGCAGGTACCTCGACTGTAGTGAACAGAAGCTCCAGCCATAAAAAAGAAGAAATTGTTTCCAGTGGCGGAAGTAATTTTCAGGGAACATTTCAAAATTGTACATTTATTATTTGTAATGACGTGAATAAATAAAATATGGTTCAGTTTTCATTTCTATTCATTTTTACCTGTGAAAGGTAGAGGGAATTATAAAATCTATAATGTCCCAAGGGAGTTATGACCCTCTTTATTGATAGCGTAACTATGACGATATAAGCTTATAATATCCCGGTCAGAAATAAATGTATTTAACAATTCATCTAAAATGTAACTGAAAGATGTAATACAGAAAATAAAAAATTGCTTCATGTAGGTATAAATAGAAGATTACAAATACTGCTTTTTTAATGAATTCTTCCTCTATCACAATTTTTTGACCAAATCAAATTAGGAAATTCAAAAGTAGAATCGAGTATCTATTACATGATTGTCACATTTTAGTGTCATATGGGATTGCATTACCTTATTTCAAAAGTATATTTTTATTTTTTTCAGTCAACACAAAATAACAGAATATTTAATTCATAATAATAATTAATGTTGAAATGTAGCATTTATGAAACTAACACTCCGTTCCAAATTTCAATTTCTTAATTACATTCGTTCAAAAAATGAAAGGAAAGAAGAAAGATTGAAGGAAAATACTGTAATAGGACAAAATATAATCTGTTTCTACAAGAAAAATACATTATTTAACGAAAGTTATTTTTTGTGGAGAAGAATCAGTTTTTTGTCAACCTTTTTTGGGTATTTCCACCTTCTACAATCTGAAAAATATGAGAATTATAATGGAGAACTTTATACAAGTGTAGAAAGGGCAAAATTTCAAGTTTACCCTGATAAGTTACTGCGTAAAATCAAAGTATTTTTCAGAAAGAAAAATGTTGTATTTATCATTAACTTGTCGTACTGAACAATTTTACCTATCAAAAAAATGGCTTAGAAATAATACAATTATTATCTTAACATTTCGAAGGCCAAAATCTGCCAGAAATGGACAAAAAATTCGAAGATATTCGCAAAATATCTTCTGCAAATATCAAGAAGAAAGATAAACTGAAAACTATACCTGATATGAATATATTCGAATATTTGAAAAATAGTTTTTTTCTTCTACGAAGTATATTCAAACCTCAGAGTCAATAGCTATTCTTGATTATAGAAAAGAATACTTCTCATGCTGGTAATAATCGATGTTCAAACAAAAAAAGCTATTCTTAGTAGTAAAGTTTTGAATCTAAGAATAAGTATAAAATTTCTCAAATTTCAAGTATATAGAAAGCGTTAACATAAAGTTAACTATACTTGCGGAATGGGAAGATGATGGTATACTTGAAATAACACGATTCATCTCCAATTCAATTCAGAGAAGCGTTTTTTTCGTGACTTTCCCATCTTTATGCAGAAACCTTAAAAAAAATCCAGAGAAAGAAAGGAAGCAATTGATTTAAAAATAAATTCTTCACAAAGATGTGTAGGTCATGCAAAGAAGTAAATTTCAGACACAAAAAGGAAAAAAACTCTTTTTGAGGGTGACAATGTTCCATGTAACTGAAATATTAGGTACATCTTTCATATACTACGAATTATATTGTGTAGAAATCATGTGAATGATATCAGATTCAATTCCATAATGAATATTTCGAGTGAAAACTGAATAAAGAAACGTGTTTTCTGTTTTTTTTTCGTTGAATCCAATGTTTATATGGAAGTAGTTGATTCTATAGGGCTTTTCCCCCCAGTTTGTGTATGAAAGTTACTTCTCTGCATGACCTATTCATCTTTTCAAAAAAAAAAGTTTCGAATCAATTGCTTTCTTTCTTTCTCCAGAATATTCCCACATTTTTCCTATAAAGATGGAAAAGTAGAACGCCAAAACCTTTTTTTTCAGTAATGTTCATATAATTCAATGAAATTAGTCGTTTCGAAGTAACTTTTTTCCGTGTAGTTCACACATCCTTATGAAGAGTTTATTTCGAACTTGATTTTTTTTTCTCCTTCCTAAAGTTTCACACAGTTTTTGTATAAATTTGGAGAAATGGGAACCCAGATTCAAACAAGTGTTTGAATTTATTCTGTTAGTAATTCAAGCGACAAGCTCTCAGCAAAAATATAAATCAAACATAAGTACCTACAATATTGAATTTTGACTGAGGAAATTAGGCAAAGGCAAAAAACTTTTAGAAGAATTTGAAATAAGCATTTAGAGAGGTTCAAAATTGTTAATTTTGCTTTCTGATGTCAATCTCAGAGAAGCTACCGTCTAATGTTTCCACATACACTGTTAAATTCAATCAATTTTTCGCTGAAACCAACAAAAATCTAATAATTCACCCTCTCAAGAAAGATTTAGGTAATACGGAAGTTACAGTTTCAAAAGATGCCGATGTCCTATAACACTGGTAAACACACAGTTTGCTGCCGGATTTTTTTTTACTGTTTCTAGGTAATTTAGGTCTGCTGAATCCAAAAATGCGTCACCTAAAATCTCCTTTTCATATGATTTTCTTGGAAAGGCTTCCAGAGAACGGTCCCTTTGAAGACTCCAGCAGTAATCCGCCATCATGTGAGTGTCCCATCTCCCTTGATACCTCTCTTCCATCGTTTTGATATCTTGGTGGAAGCCTTCCCCTTTTTTCTCACTAAGGTCACCAAGATTTTCTGGGAAACGGTCCAAGTGGCTGTAGAGGTAATGAATTTTAATACTCGTATGACAAACGTGTTTGTTGAAATTGTTGAGCATTTCTTTCACTAAATCCCGGCAATTTTCCAATTTATTGTTTCCAAGAAAATTTTCCACAACTTTCACAAAAGAGCACCATGCATTACACTCAATTTTCCACAACTTTCACAAAAGAGCACTCGATTTCAGTCATCGATTCTGTAAAATACGAATCTTTTATAAGTTGTCGTATCTAAGGCCCATCAAATATTTCGGCTTTCAATTTTTCTTTACTAAAAGCAGGGAATTTGCTGGACAAGTATTCAAAACAAGGACGATTCTGGTCAGGAGAAAGTTCACCATCTAAAAATCAACACAGATCGCCCACTGATGTTGGTCATACTTGATGTTTTTTAGCACCAGCAATATTGTTTCATATTCTTCTTTCAGTTTTGTAGAAGGACCCACCTTGAACTTCTTTTGGAACTGTCGATAAAAAGACGCCAGTGATCTGGTGTATACTCCGATACACCCATTTTTTCTAACAGTCCTTATATATTGTTACAAAAAAGCATATCATCTTGCTGAGAAAAAAAAGGAAAAGATCTTTTTCTCTATTATGGTAGTATGTAATTTTGGTTTCTGGGTGAAAAAGTTTCTTTTCCTTTAGTTTGGAGGCAAACAATTCCGAAGAATCCTTTGGAAAGTTCAAATCTCTAATAAGATCGCTTAGCTCTTCCTGAGAAAAGGGTTCAGGACGTGTTGAATCCCCTTCAAAATCACTGTCGTCTTCCTCAAATCTATTAGTCTGTAGTTCGTCAGATAACTTTTCGATATTATCCTCTGGTAACGTAGATAAGCTGCTAAATATTGGAATGGGTATCTGCTCAAACTGATTTGGAATTGGTCTTATTGCTGAATCCAGGTTAGGATTTGTCCACGTATGTCGATATTTACGATTAATGCCCTTTATATTCACAAGACAGAAATAGCAATCGTCAAAATAATTTTTTTGTTCTCTCCATACCATTGGAACACCAAACTTCAAACATTTTTGTTGTCCTTTCGTCCACTGTCGAAAGTTTTCAAGACAAGTTTTGCACACTGCATGTGGAGCCCAGGATTTATCTTGATCTCCCAAATGAACACCAAAATAGGCTTGATATGCCCTTTTTATAAAATCACAAACTGGTTTTCTACTTTCCTTTACAATGTACTCGCCACATATGTAGCAAAAAACGGTTGGGTTATTCACACAACAACGCCTGCTTGTAGAAGCCATGGATTTCAATTGTCAAAAAACAAACTCTTGCAACGAAACTCAAGATCACACAAAATTTTACAATGGAATGCAGTCGACTTTATAAGAATTCATTAAGGCCGTTTCCGAGAAAATACTATTTACTTATCGGACAATAGGTGAGAAGCAATTAGCACTAATTTCATGTTATGGGCATTTCCAATAAGTACACTTTAATTAGAAGTCATTAGTATGCATTTGTCTTAGAATTTGTTAAGTTTGTTAATAAACATATTGCAATTATAGTGGTGGAATATACAGAAATGTAAGAATATTTAAGTATTTGATGAGTATGTATCTCGAAAACTAGAGCTGATACAAAGAAAAGGTTTGTATTTTTGAAATCAGCACAGATGAATTAACCAAAATCAGTTGTTTTTTTTTCGGCAGCAAGACATTTTTTTTTGTGGGCTGTGTAATCGTTGAAATGGCTGTCGAGTTTTTCCATGTAGTAATTTAAAATTATGTTTCATTTTGAAATCATATATTTGTAATCTGAAATGGAGACACTTCTTTATGCTCCAATAATGAAAGTACTAGCTCCAAAGTTTTTCAACATTTGCAGTCTGGAAAACATTTTTCAATTTCCGCCTAACGCTGACTTATTTCATTTATGGAGTTATTTTAATTGTACTTCAAATATTGTTAATATCAATCCAGACCCTCACTTTGGTAGATGCACATATAAACTGGATAAGAAATAATTAACACTTCATTAGAATCACATCAAATGAGCAAAGTCAAGTCGACTAGAATATTTTAATTTTTCGTACATCATTTTCAATGTGATGGAAATTTGAAACTTTTTGTCAGCACAATTGATTTTAAATCGACGAAAATCACCATTCAGCATCAACATATTCAGATCTTGAATAGTTTATATGCGAATATAAATATCATTTGTTACGCAGTTTGAGTTTCTATAATACATTTGAACATATTCGTAGTAACAACATCAACTTAATGAGGCGGGCCAACCTAGACCTTCATAAAAACTGAAAGTGAATTAAAAACCACTGCCAAGTGGAAGTATTGATCAGCCGCTATATAAACTGCAGAAACATCCTAAATTGTATCAGTTTCTGACCAACTAAAGCAAAATCAACTACAATGGCATCAAAAGTGAGTAAGACAAAAATCTGTTGACATAGCATTTGATATAATTCATTATTGATACTACAAATTCTTTGATGGTCTCGTTCGATAATGATGTGAATATCAAAGAGTGGAGTGCTTTTCGAATTTCAGATAAAAACTTGCTGCCTGAGCAATTGTTCAATATTAGTATTGGAAAATAACTTTCCATATTGTATTATTGTTTTCAACACCAAATTATATATTTATGCTTATAAGCTATTATCTGAGGACGAATCCTAGAACATACATTCAAAAGTTATTTCATACTATCAACTTCAATAAGATATTTCCATAAAATGAAATGAAAATAAATGAAATACCTAAACTTTCTTTCTAAATCTTTCAATTATCACATACTGAAAAGTTAACGAAACACTAATATATATTGCCCATTTTGAATAACAATGAATGTGGTGTAAATGTCGAAAAAATGATGAATGAATGAAAAATGATTATTGTGTACAGTTTTTGACACATCGAATTTTCATTCGTAGTTTGAGGGAAAACTAGAAATTATCGAAAAATTTCAACTTTGACCTTTTGGAAATTATTCACCAAATTCTTGGAATATTTGTGCGTTCAAAAACAATATTGTTGGTATCAATGTGGAGCCTGCAGAAGATATTTGAAAGAACTTTCAAATCAAGTATAATATTTTTGGCACTACAGTAACCAACCACGTCGTACATACATAGGATGAAATCAGAATATGACAAGCTTCATGTAATTTCATAGAAAACTCAGGCAGGAGGTTTCTTAATCTTTCATATAGATCATTTTTTGATAACTTCACTCCATCACTTCGAAGATTTATGGAAGGTAGATGCGACTCGTCATATCGTATATTGTAACTTTGTCTCTATGAATGAGAATTGATGTTACTGAAAAAAAGTGTATAAAGTAAGTTAGTTGAAGGGTTCTTTCCGATAAAAAATATTTTTTTCTCAAGGATATATAAATGCTCGCCTTATTCCAAGTAGTTTTTTTTTACGTTACATCTCTCTCACCGCAACCTCCATTATAATTTGGAATATGAACTAGATGAACCAGATATAGAATGTATGGTAAGACGGAAAGTAACAAATATGATTGTATTTTCAGTTCATCATCTTCGCCGCTGCTTTGGCTTACGCCAACGCCGGATTTATTGGATCACCAGCAATTGCCACATACTCTACTGCACCAGTAGTGTCAGCCTACTCTTCCCCAGTGGTATCAGCCTATGCTGCACCCCTGTCAAAATCAGTCGTCAGCTCTTACACCAACCACGGATCACCAGTTGTATCAAGCTACGCTGCACATGCTCCAGTTGTCTCCGCCTACTCGGCACCTCTCATCACCAAATCTGTAGCTCCAGTTTTATCTTCATACTCATCACCAGTTGTATCAACTTACTCCGCCCCAGTTGTGGCTAAGTCTTTGGCTCCAGTTGTATCTGCTTACTCTTCCCCAGTTGTGTCAGCTTATTCTTCTCCAGTTGTGTCATCTTACTCTTCTCCACTCTTGGCCAAATCTATCGCTCCAGTAGTATCCAGTCCACTAGTGTCTGCTTACTCTGCTGCTCCGATAGTAGCTCATGCTTCGTACTCTGGACTCAACACTGCTTACCAATGGTGAAAAATTACAAATTGTAAATAAACATCTATTTATTTGAATGGAAATACAGTATAAATGAATCACTTTCTGTTATTATTATTTACTTGATGCCTCCGATACTGAAACTGGTGACATAAGTTGTTCTGGAAACAAATCGAAGCAAACAAAATATAGGATTAACAGTACAATTTATAGTATTATTGTGTGAGAAATTCAGATATTTAGAGAATACAAATATGAATATACATAAATATTATCTTGATAGAGTTGACGAAATAAGGTGTCTTTTTTTCAATAATAATGAAATTTGGGGACACATTGTCTACTCAGTGTCATATAATAATAACAGATATTTCAAATTTTTATAGAATACTAGCACTATGTTGCTGTATCACTGCTGTTCCAATGTTTTGACAGAATCAGAATCAACGAACTTAGGCGTGCGCAGCGTTATAGAACAGTGCTTTCAAAAAAATGTTCTACAGCGCCATCTAGTGGCGAGTTACAGAACAACTGATAGCCTAAAAACCTTCTATATAAAAGATTACTTATACATGTCAAGTTTTATCACGATCGATTGAGCGATGTAGAAGTTTATCACTTACCAACCAACCAACCAACCAACAGACATCCATTTTTATACAGTGCTTTTCAGATAAAAGTATTCACCTTTAATAACTTTTGTAATACTGGTATTTAGGAAAAATCCAAAAACACGTCAATTTATGTTGGAAGGGGCAAGCATTATGGCTTATTTAAACTTACTGGAAAAGCCACCCCCTCACCCCTAGCATCATCCTTTTTTTTTAATTACTTCTCATATTTTCTATGTAAAATTTGGATACTCCTCTTTGAGCTGATTTCAAAAATGTATAATACTTTTAGGTTAAAGTGATTAGTTTATGAGATGAACAATTTTTTTTAATGGCACAAATTTTACTTATTTTTTACTTTCACCTTATTTGCCTGTACTAAAATGGGTTGTACAACAGTTCAAACTCTTCAATCTGTTTAACTGTGCTATTTATTCTACTTCAAAAATCCAAACAACAAAAAACTCTACTTTTTATTAAAGTTTGACATTGTCAACTAGAGTTTGTAGTCACTATTGATAGTGTACTTTGATACATTATTTATTTTGTTTCGCTGAAATGGTTTACTCTTTGCAAGAAAGAATTGAATTTGTAGGTTGATACTACCAAAATAATAATTGTGCAAGAGCTGCTGCTAGAATATTTTACGAATTACATGACGGAAGACATGCAACTCATAAGTATGTAATTCAACTGATGGAGAAATTTACCACAACAGGGTCTGTTTGCAATAAAGTGCATAAGCGAGAGGGACTCGTAAATAACGAAGCAATCCAAGTGGCAATTTTAGGGCAAGTCAGCTTAGAGGCTCAACAACCCCAATCGTTGTCAACAATAAGTAGAGCGATCGGTGTTTCATCTTCTACAGTTTTCCGAGTTCTACATAAATTCAAGTACCACCTATACAAAGTTAAGTTGGTGCACGAGTTGAATGAAGATGATTTTGATCGTCGTCTAGAGTTTTGCGAATCAATGACGCAATTTATCAATAACAATCCACAATTGTTAAACAATATTTGCTTTTCTAATGAATGCTCATTTTCATTAAATGGCTTACTAAATAGGCATAATTGTAGATATTGGGCTGAAAGTGATCCACATATTATGCGTGAATTCCATACACAACATCCCCAAAAGTTAAACGTTTGATGTGGTATCCTAGGTGACCACATTGTCGGACCTTTCTTCATCAACGGAAATTTAAATGGTGAATCATATCTTGAGTTACTCAGGGAAGGGGTTGACCCACGTATTACCACAATAATAGAAAATGATGATAACCTTTTCGAAGATTTACTGGTATTTCAACAAGACGGAGCTCACCCGCACTATGCTATGCCTGTCCGACAATTTTTAAACGAAACATTCCCCGCTCGTTGGATAAGGTAGAAGAGGGCAGATGATGGAGTGGCCACCTAGGTCACCGGATTTAACACCCCTAGACTTCTTTTTCTGGGGGTATTCAAAAACAAAAGTTTATGCTACCCAACCAGAATCTCTGGATGATTTAGGAGAGAGGATAGAAAATTAATGTCGACAATTGAATCCAGCCGTATCAAGCAATGTCAGAGAGGCATTTCAAAATAGATTATACCATTGTATGGAAGTGAATGGTACTCATTTTGAACACTTATTGTAACTTCATAATAAATAGCACAGTTAAAAAGATTAAAATGTTTGAACTGTTGTACAACCCATTTTATTACAGGCAAATAAGGTGAAAGTAAAAAATGAGTAAAATTTGTGCTATTAAAAGAAAAATTGTTTATCTCATAAACTAACCACTTCAACCTACAAGTATTATACATTTTTGAAATCAACTCAAAGAGGAGTATCCAAATTTTACATAAAAAATATGAGAAGTAATTTAAAAAAAAAAGAATGATGCTAGGGGTGAGGGGGTGGCTTTTCCAGTAAGTTTAAATAAGCCATAATGCTTGCCCCTTCCAACATAAATTGACGTGTTTTTGGATTTTTCCAAAATACCAGTATTACAAAAGTTATTAAAGGTGGATACTTTTATCTGAAAAGCACTGTATATTAGATAAATGAGGATGGAAATTTTGGAAATGCGATGTTGATTCCAACAAATGTTTCAAACTTGCCAATCCACTGTATTGAGTATATATTTCAATATATGTCCAGAAGAAGAACAAACAAAAAAATCATTTCGAAAGCCATTTGTTAATCAAAAGCTTTTTTACCAAATCTGGAGTGAGAGATGATTGGGAATGGGAACAATGGAACAATATAATGTTCAACAAAAGTCATAATCCGTAGAAATTTTTACTACTTTGTTTGATTTCAATAGATGAACTCAAAAACTACTCAACCGATTTTCACAAGAATTTTCAAAAAATTAGAGATCTCTAAGGAAATTGAAATAATGTAATATATCATGCGGTCCCCCGTATGGAGCAATACCACCTGGCTTCATGAGAAGCAGTCGTCGCCAAGATGCGAAAGACTAATTTTTATATAGGGTGGCCCATTAGTGCGAGGAAGTACAGTATCTTGGTTATGATGGGGAATATGATAGAGTGTTCCAGATAAAAGTCATATAGTTCACTTTGTTAGACCAAAATGTTTTACATAAGGTGTTTTTTTTTTAAATTTTGCGGCGTTGTCAAGTTATTGCTGAAAGTAAGAAAATCTTCGGAAAAACAGACCACCATGAATGCCATCATAAAAATTTTATCAATAGAATTCAAGCAGAATTATTTGAGGCATGCAATACCAAGTGTGAGTTCAAATGTTAATATGGACAGAAAACTACATTCCTAAAACTTGATTTTCGTAAATGAAACACCCAGGATCATCCCTATGAATTTGGATAAGACGAAATACTTCCTTAAACTGGCTCTTTTTGAGAAATTTACAATTTTAAATTTGTCAAAAATTGTCTTAGTGACTGTTACTGGAATTTTATATAATTGCAATGTCAAACTTGAAACTGTCAAACTAAAAAACATGTTTTTATTGGACAATGTAGGACCAGGTAGCCGAGTGGTTGAAAGCATCGCTTTTCAATCATTTTATTATTCATAGCCTAGCGACTACAGGATCATTTTCAAGAGAGAAAGTGCTAAGAATCGCACGTTGAAACGTAAGACCACGTTAAACCTTGGCTCGCTCAAAATCCGACTTCTGAGGGCTGTCCGTTTATAAGGAGACGACAGATGGTGGGAGAAATTTTTTTTCCAATTCATGAGAGTGAATGTTTGAAACGTGAACACAAAAAAAAATATTAGAAATTCGTAACAACTGCTCAAAGTGACCACCGGCTACTTCCAAACAATTATGTATTGGGTTTTCAAATTCTTCAACTCGCCTCAAGATGCTAACTGAAATTTTTCAATCGAAAGGGGTATATTTTAAGAAGTGACTAATTTTTTGGGAAGAAAGTTTTTGGCTTTCTACTACTCCATCTTGATATAAAAAAATGGGGGAATCTTTCGAAGAAAGGAAGAAACTAATTAATTTCAAAAGAAGTATCTTCATACATGAATGTGTAGATCATACAAAGAAGTAACTTTCAGACATAAACTGGAAGAAAAAGGCCTCCTGAAAGAGCTACTTTCATATAAACGTTGAATTACACAAAAGAATAATTATTTTGAAACGAATACTTTTATATGAACAACGAATTGTAAAAAAAACAATTTTCTCTACACAGTTTGTATTCCAGACATTCGTTTTGAAATCAAAATCAGATATCACTCACAGGATTTCTACACAGTATACTGAATGAAATATTTTGTAATATATCGTCAATTCTATTCGGCATATGCTCCTTTGTAGATAGGGATGTTCCATAAAATTGATCTTCAACGTAGCCCCATTAAAAAAATGTCAAATCTGGTGAGCGCGGTAACCATTTGAAAAGGCCTCCTCTACCGATTCATCTTCTGGGAAGTGCAGTGCCTGAATTCCATTAGTTCAGAATTTCATTGTCTGAAATGATATAAATCGATTTCAAATAGCTGAAAAAATCTATAAGAAAATTAAAAATATTACCTGAAAATTAACAATCATATTGAGCAAAATAAACTGAAATTACATTGAAATAAAATACAAGCAACAATCGAAAATGGAACTATTACCACGAGCTGAAAATTAAAAATTATCAACAAGAAATGAACATTAAAAATTAAAAGAATCCAAGCCAAGTTACTTTCAAGCAGTGTTTGAATAGTGTGGTGAACAGGTGCTCCGTTGTGTAGATACGGCATTATCTAATCTATTATCTTATTATAAAGCCACAGTTTCAAAATTGTATGACAGTCATTTTTGTGCTAAAACATGTCGATAAATGAATGTAGAATTCATAGCCCATTTTGATAACAGTTTTATTGCGCATGGCGCATAGGAGAACCAACATTTGCCTTACTGACATGTTCATGACGCATTTTATTTGCGCACCATGTACCTGTTTTCAAACAACCGGTTGTTATTATGTTAGCACTGTAGATATAATTGAGTGTTTTGTACG